TTGTACTCTGTTCTAGTTGATCCCGAGGTGCAGTCACAGTCGCCGTGACAGCTTCGAGAAGTGATAGATATAGAAGTGCTGGTCGAGCTGCTGTAACCTCTGTCGTAAGTGGGAGGCGACTCCTCATGTCACTTCTTCTTTGGGCTAGTATGGGTAGGAGAGGACTAGGACTACCACACCTGTCACTACTCCTATCCCGTAATTAGGGTAACAACGCTCCGCTTTATTCCGTTGTAGTGATAGGACGTAAGTTGATGAGTGGACTATACCTAGAACTCCGTGTGGTGGAGAGATGAACCCCTAATGAAACATGTGGAGGGATCAGAGCTACAACCCCAATCTGTTCTCGGCACCCATCTGTGTCGCAAAATCAGAATGTACGCAGCCCACGGAAGGATGGAGCTCACCTGACAGCGGTTCCTGCGGCTGTTTCACCAGGGAAATGGCTTTCGAACATCTCCCTGATCATGTATGCTTCTTTTGTGTCAGGCGTAGCGAGCGGCCAGCGATCTTTGGCGGATGACAGCTGCTCGTCGGTGACGACCTTTGAGGCATGTTCCTTCATGCCGTCGATCCAAGAGTAGCCTACGCCTACGCTGGTTTTAAGACAGACAGAATATGCGATGGAAGAAAGCTCAAACCGTCCGAAAATTGTTCCTTTTGTCGCCAGAGAATGGAGTCTGGAAGGTACGGTCGTCCTCCAGGAGAGATGTCGAAGGCTTTGCGCAAAATGTACTGACGGTGATGGATAAGGCTCCTCCTAAGATGGAAATAAAGAAAAATGCACCTTCTCCATCTTCGGTCGTCCCTGAGCATCCACCTCCTTCGAACCAAACATCTTCTCCTCGGGTCGAATATCCATCGAAACCGATAGGAACTCTTTATCGAGGAAAGGTACACGAGCTTCAAGTCCCCAGGCCATTGTGCTCCTTCACGACAGAAATGTCAGCAAAACTAAGCAGGGCAACACTGAAGGAGGCATACTTGTTAGCCCGCAGACAATCGGCAGTGTGTAAGTTCTTGACTCTGTCCACACATTCTTGATGGAAATCCTTCCCACTTGGGGCTTTATGAAAGTAGAGGTAACCACCAAAGATCTCGTCGCTTCCTTCACCACTAAGGACCATTTTCACTCCTGATGCCTTGATCTTGCGGCTGAGAAGATACATCGGTGTGCTGGCACGAACTGTGGTGACATCGAACGTCTCGAGGTGATAAATCACGTCCTGTAATGCATCAATGCCTTCTTGAACGGTAAAGGTATATTCATGATGCACTGTTCCGAGATATGAAGCCGCTTGTCGAGCAGCCAGAAGATCGGGAGCACCTGGAAGACCTATGGAAAAGGAATGTAACCTTGGCCAGGAGGTGAGAGAGCTGTCATCTTCTTCATCCGAATCCCCAACATCCATTCGATCCAGTGAAGAAACCGACTGACTCAGATCCTCGTTCGACGCTCGCTTGAGGTATTCGCGCTGCATCTGAGCGCGGGCCACCTTTTCCGTCTCCCGAGCAGCGATGGCGGCAATCAAGCTACTGTCCAATCCTCCACTCAGAAGTACACCGTAAGGAACTTCTGACATGAGACGCTTCCGCACAGCTTTCTCAAGACTGGTACGCAAGAGGGCAAAGTCGACTGGAGTGGTCGGGATCTGGGTCGGGACCTTGAACCAAGCCGGTTCGTAATACCTCTGAATTTCTCCAGTCTGTGAATCCCAAAAGCAACCAGGAGGGAAGGAGATAATGTTCGTGCATTCTGGTGGCAAGCCCTTCATCTCTGACGCGAAGCAGTAAGTCGAGTTGTAGGATCCCATATAGAGAGTCGTGATTCCTATCGGATCTCGTGCCGCGACCATTCTTGAATTTTGCGGATCGAGAGAGTCGAGGAGGACGAAGGAGAACATTCCATCGAGCTGATTACAGAGCGATGGGAGATCACATTTTTTGTACTATCACAACGCACAAAAAGTGCAAGACGATCACGATCAGCTTTTTTGGTGTTACGTACAAGTGGCTGAACTCACCAAATGCATGATGACCTCGCAATCAGAATGGGTTTTGAAGCTGCAGTCCTGCAGAGATCTCTTCAATGTTTTGTAATTGTAAATTTCTCCATTGACGCAGAGTGCCAGCGTGCCTTCGTCGTTCACGATAGGCTGAGCACCAGTATCTACAAGAGAGCTCTCGCACCATTGCTTCTTTTGCTAACAAAAAAAGCTACGTACCAACGCCGACGACAGCTAAACGCTCATGACATAGTATCGAGTTACCATTCTCGTAGCAACCTGACCAGTCTGGGCCTCGATGTCGTAGCTTCTTCGATAAGGCAAGGCATTTGGTTCTGCGCAAGCTCGACTCGCCTTCGTAGTTGTGAATGGCGAATATCCCACACATTTTCAGAGTATCTATGGGATTATATGTGACTCCTATAGCTCCTGTACGAATTCGAAGGCTGTTGGAACTGATGGAAAGTGGAAACTGAGCCTGTCTGACTGGAAGGACTTTTAGCCTGAACAGACTAAACTACGGGAGCGTAGTGTCTGCGCCAGCTTCTCACAGTGATGCAAAGTAATGCAGTGTAAAGCTATTGGAGGTCGGGCCTGCAATACGTATTGAAAATTGATTAGAGAGAAACTGCATAGTAAACTGAAAAAAGTACGTCACCGTCGAATCCACCTACAACCCCTACTAACAATTCTGAAGGGCTTTCAATGGGTGCTCGTGCCCCGTTCCAGCATGTGTAACGTTTGATGACCACGAAGCGCGCCGGTGGGACCTGGCGGATGGGCTAGGAGAAGCCGTAGCTTTGACAGGTGATGGGGCTATAGAGTGGAATCGAACCTGCAGGAATGAATAGACAAGCCTAGAGGGGAGTTAAATAGATCGCTCGTTCTTCTTCCCCTCGAAAATAGCTCCATGTCAAATAGACACAATGCCCGCATGTTGTGGTATGAAGAGATATTTAACGACTTAGAAATGAAAATGCCTTCGATCTTAGCTCTCGTATAATTAAACGATAGAATCATCCGACATTCCCATGGATCATAACTGAAGTAATCGTCACACCAACTATGTCTCCACAAGAATCGTATCGCAGAGCGATCAACGCTCCGTCTCCTTCGCACAACCAACAGCAACGCAACCTCCACCGCAATTCATTTTGAATTCACCCTCCGAGCCATCTACCCTTCCGTTGGACTCATCGACTCAGTCGTCCTTCTTTCCAGGAGGCACCGGTGGTCCGCCAGAGATGCTCGGCTGCTGGAGTCTAATTTGGGGAGGTGGGGGGACGGAAGATTTCCTAGCCATAGGTGGGGGAGGGTACGACTTTTCTTCCTGCTGTTGCTGGCTCTGTTGATTATAATCGAAGAGGACCTGTCCTTGCTGCTGTTGTTGATGACCGTACCCCATCCCGCTCATTCCGCTCATGCCGCCCATCCCATTCATACCATTCATTCCGTTCGGAGCTCCATATCCGTGTCCTTGCTGAGGTTGAGAACCGTACCCACCGTATCCGTTCACGCCATGCATCTGGTTCTGTCCATACGAGTATCCGTTCATGCCACTGGCCATTCCCTGCGCCTGATGGTTCTGATGGAACCCACCCCCGGCATGTTTCTTCGCTCCCCGTCCCTTCCCTCCCTCCAATCCAAGCGCGCCGTTCACAGCCGTGGCAACGATTTGCGCAAAGTAGAGGACGGGGAGGGACTTGGGGAAGAAGGGATGTCCAGGGAGCAAACCGGCTCCTCCGCCTCGCTGTCCTCGCCATCGAAAGCTCCTTCGCTCCTCATCAACGAGATCGAATCGCCGACTCGCATCCCTGTGCCGGCTGTGCTGCCCATTCCCCATGCGGAAGGGTAGTCTGGGGAGATCGGGAGGGGACGGGAGGTGGCGGGGAGGGTTTGGAGGAGTGGGATGGAGGCGGAGAAGATGAGCAGGGGGAGGAGGGTGATGTTGAGGAGGGAGAAGAGGGAGAGGAAGAGCGTCGGAGGGAGGGCGAGGCCGAGGAAGTAGGCCCAGTGTTGACGGAGGGTCTTGAATTGGGCAGAGAGCACCATGTGCTTCGAAGACCAAGATGGACTGTTCCCACCCAGGGTTCTTTAGAAAGAAGGAAATAAGGAAAGAGGGAGAGATGACGCACTCAAAGATGAAGTAGGTGTTGGTCAGAGCTGTGTATCCGATGACGAACGGCTGGAGGAGGATCCATATCCAAAATCCGCCCTTTTGGGAGAGGTATGCGAGTGAAAAAGTGGCGACGACCCAATCCGCACAGACCGATGCTCTCGTGACGAGGGTAGCAGCGGATGGCGGGTCCGACCCAGCTGTCGAGCCGAGATATGTCGCTCCCAACAAGAGAGGCACGACCACTGTCGCCTGCCCAACCGAACCGAACATCTCAACGCCGAGCGCTCCAAAAAGGAAAAGGAAAAAGAAAGGAAAAAGACGAACGGTGTACAAGCTTCCCAGTCCAAACGCTTTCCCGACCAATACAGCGACCAACACCACTCCCTGCAACACTGCCGTCCTCAGACAGTTCTCCCTCACCTTTCTATCAGTGGCCAACAAGTCTACCGTCCGATCTGAGAACAGGGACATGAACTGCAGCAGCCCTGCCAAAAAGTACGACCCATGGTGCGATACCGTCGTGGTGAGGGACAATGTGGTTCCAGAGCTGGAATAGGTTGTTTTAGCAGGATGGGCGGCGTACGAGTCGAATGACGAATTGGATTGGGTGAACGAGGTCGCTTGGGGATTCGGGGACGCCGTCGGGGAGTACGGGTTGAGGGTGACGGAGGATATGCGGGCGTGTGGCTTTCGTGAGAGGAAGGAGGACATGGCTGCACCTTCGCTGGGAATTCTAAGGTGAAAAAGTGGACGTATTGAGGTCGAGGTCGTTTTCCTGCTTCTTTTCCATTTGCCCGGCGGGAAGGGCCGAGCCACGTGGCAACCGTCCTTTGCTTTACTGTATTATATACTAACTAAACGGAGGAAGAATCAAAGCGGGGATAGCTCAGTTGGTAGTAGCATATGCTTAACAGCGCTTAATCGCATAAGGTCGTGGGTTCGATCCCCACTTCTCGTACTCTTTTTGTCTGTTTCCCTTCCCACTACAATCTACAGACTAAACTACGGCCATCTCCACCCAGCCCTCATCCAAAACATTGCCACAAACATGCCTCCTCGTTGCCCCTCCGCACAATCCGCCGCGTCTCCTCCTCCCGTGACCCCGCAGCCTTCGCGCCGCTCGTCACGCGTGACAGCTCGGCAGAACTCCACTTCGACCACGAGCAGCGCTGCGGCAGGGAGCGTAAGTGGAAATACGACGGGGGGAGGGAAGGGGAGGGGGAAGGGGAAGAAGGTCGTCGAAGAGCCGGAGGCGGTGCAGGAGGAGCGGGAGGGTGAGGCTGAGGCTGAGGAGATGGAGGGCGTGGAGGAGGGAGCGAAAGAGAAGGATGGGGAGCGGGAGGGAGGAGAGGGAGAGGGAGAGGGAGAGGATGGGAAGGGGAAGGAGAGGGAGGTGGTTGAGATTCCGGATTCTCCTCTGCCGGGAACGGGAGCCTCTGGGGAAGTCGAGGAGGAGGCAGAGAAGATGGAGGTTGACGCTGTGGAGGTTCTGAAGTTGGAGGGTACGGCAGAGATGGCGAAGAGGAGAGAAGAGATGGAGAGGCTAGAGAGGGAGGAGGTCGGTGGAACGAGGAGGGAGTGGAGAGAGGAGAGGAGGGACCAGTATGTCATTCTTTCTTCTACAGAGACGGGGTGCTTCATCTACACTTTGCGACCGCAAACGCGTAAAAAGTGACATGACAGCTATCATGCCCTCTTTCTGTTTTAGTTATACCATGCATTTACTAACACCACTCATAAACAGGACCCTCGCGGACCTACTCCTCCTTATGGACGAATACCGGCCCATCGTACGCTCCTCTTCCTCTCATTTGTTCCAGCTTACATTCTATCTTTACACAGATCCCCGACTCCGTCACCCAATACTACCTCCAACGCAGCGGCTTCGACACCTCCGACGTCCGAATGTTTGTCTCCATCCCTCCCCTTTCTCCTCTCTCTCACGGTATCACGCCGCAAGCTGACGCTGATGACTGATGTTTGGTTGATGACGGGATGACAGATCGAGGCTGATCGCGCTCTCTGCACAAAAGTTCGTCTCCGACATCATAGGCGACGCGTTCCAATACGCCAGGACTCGGACCGCCGCTTCCACACACGGAGGAGAAGAGAACAGGAGGAGGGTGCGTCTTTCTCCCTTTCCATTTTATCTATTCTCTCCAGCACATCAAACACTCACTGATGACTACTTTGTTTTTTTTTGACTTGTGGGTGCAGGATCGTGCAAGGACGGTGTTGACGATGGACGACCTCGCGCCGGCGCTGGCAGAGTATGGAGTGAACGTGGGCAGACAGGCTTATTATCTTTGATTGGGTCTGCCATCTCTGCGTGTGCTCAGTTCGACGTTTCCTTTCTGAATGATGTGAATGTTTCGAGTTTGCGTTACTACCCTGCTTCGACTTCTAGGAATGGCCATACAGTGTTCAAGATGTTTTGGTAATTGTGCAGGGAAAGGAAGGTGCCTTGAGCATATCACTTGGAACTTGAAAGGTAAAGTAAATGTCGAGAATGGTTCCACAAAGAAAAGCCTGAGGGGTTCAAAATGCTTCTGCGGGAGAGGAAATCTTGTCAGCACAACTTGGGGCAGGCAACATTGACCAATTTGCAGAGTCACGAGCGAGATGTATACCTACAATCTTCTTTACCAGGGTGCCTATCAGCTTTAGTCCTTGCTTTTAGATAAACTGAGTACTACCAAGCCAAGCAGGCGAAAATGATCGCCGAAAAAAAATAGCAGGCAGGCTTGGTAAAACCTCATACAGTCTGGGTACATTCTATTTTGAACGCAAAGGATATCCCGTGCCTCTGCTGCTGGAGATGAGCCAGCTCCCTCCACACATTGACGATGGCCAAAAAACAGGGCCCCTTGAGGGTCGATTCGTTACAAGGAAGCAACGAAAACGCATTGCAATATTGGAGCCTCTGGGAGATATGGGCAGAGCTTTGTGCGCAATATTTCCATCTTTTGGTCTCAGTTTAGTTGAAAATAGTGTGTGTTCTAAACCCCCCACATGATTTCTTTCCCTTCCTTGGGCGTTAGTGGAGTGTGATTCACAGCGAATCAAAGCAGCCAGACAGAAATGTACTTGTGCATTAGCAGTAGAAGCTGCTGCTCCCGGATGTCGCTGGTAATAGGCCGCTGTCATTGCCCGATCTATGTCTCATTCCTGCTGCACACAATGGATATTCATTTCATCAAAGTTTCACTTCACAGCGATATTACGCCAGCCTGTAACCACCATCGACCTCAATTCTAGTCCCAGTCACATACTTGCACTTCAAAACAAACAAGTACGCCTCAGCGACTTCCATTGGTTCAGCAACGTGGCGAACCAACAACTTCTCTGTTGCGTTCTTGAACATTTCGTTTCTGTGTTCTTCTGGCATACTATCCCACCGTTCGGTTTTGACTAGCCCGGGAGAAATGACGTTGACCCGAATTGGAGCAAGCTCCACCGCCAGGGCTAGAAAGCTCAGCTAACGAGCCTGAAATATGCTCTCACCTCTCGTCCAACCGTCTATGCACCCCGCCAACGCTCCCAAGATAGTCCAATAAGGATTGGGCTTTACCAACACGGTGCCTAGCAGCAGTTTAGTGGGCATGAGGGAATTTCGATAGAATTGCTGACCAATGGAAAGGGTGACAGAGCCGTGCGACTTGATTTTTGCTGCTTGGATCGCACAAGCATGTGAGAAGAACCTCCTGTTGAAAGGATCTGACGTCCGACATGAGTGCCTTCCCCCTACATGGATAAAGGGCCATACCATTGCTCTTGATTTTTTCCAAATCCATGCCCTTCAAGGGCTGAACCAGATCAAGCGATTCACTTTGAGCTGTGATCACTAAATGATCGATCTCTCCGACCTCTTCAAAGAACTGCTTCTCATTTTGCTGCTGGGTAATATCCATGACCTTTGCTTCGATGCGGTCGCCGACATCCACGTTTCTGCCCTTCAAGTCAATTGCTAGCTGCTTTGCGGCGATTGCAAGACGTTGGGGGTTAGTTGAGGCGATTATCACCCTGGATGCCTGGTTAAGAATCGAAAGGATAGCTAAGCTGTAACCGATTCCAGAAGATCCTGCGAGGCCACTCAAAATTTTGGCCATGAAAGGTTCAAATGATAGCTTACCTCCAATTATCACGACTGTTTCTCCCGCTAGAGTTGCCATTTGTGCTCGATGGTTGATCTTATTTCAATTGCTCCTCTTATTTAATTCTGGGATACTGATGAAGCTATGGAATTTATACTATCGCGCGAGGTGCGCAGGCTGCACCCTCCACACCTCAATCAAGCGGTGGGTTACAGCAGAAGGAGTGGGTTGAGCTCCTCACATTCAACTCCTTTGAACCTCGTCCATCGGGCAGTTGTCCTGTTAGTTGGTACTGGTACAGTCTCCGAATACGCTAGTCCCGTTATGAGACGTCCCCCATACACCCCCAAACCGAAGATGGCATCCTAGCGTCACTGTTTGTGGTATGCACCATTCACACCTTCTGGTTCACTTTGTGGTTCACTTTGTTGTTCACTTGACTTTGTTGTATGATGCACGAGTGAAACCAGAGGACGTTCGACCCCACTGGGCTGATTGCGCGAGTCCCATTTCATGCCAAGAAACGTTTACTGTAACCCCCGCTGTCTCACACGATTGATTTGTTGATACAGCTGTTTACACTCTCACGGTCCGTTGACATAAAAGCTTTCCAGCTGAAAAAAGCAACCCCAACCATAAAGCTTCGAATGGAGAAACGGAAGACGGGCGGAACATTACACATCTTTGACCAGTCCTTCTCCGTCTATCCCCCAGATAGCCGCCTCGATGATCCGAGTTAACCCTTTTAGAGAAAATGGTTTCCCAATGCTACAAACCACTTTAGTAATGGACAACAAAATAATGTCAAGCGTACTCGGTCACATCAAATAGACTAGACAATGATCTGGGTAAGATTGGCTCTGTGAAGCTGGCAACGATTGATGGATGGCGTCGGTACTCTCGAGCGAATTCGTCTAATTGAGCTCATCTTGAGTAATCAGACTGATAGACAATCTTGTCCTGCGGGCTAAGCGCATGGAAGCCCAATTTCAGGGTTGACGTGGCCATTCAGACGTCGATTTCAAGTTTCCCCTCGTTGGCAGTGTAAAGAGAGGCTTGAGAGGGAGGACCAGTTTCTTGTTCCGTAAGGCGATGTTTCCCTCGTACTCTTGTCGAGAGTTTTCAACCTGTTTCTTTCGAGGCATCTGACATTCGCAGTCTAAATCGCAGTTGCTAGAAATCACAGAGATCGGTTACACTTTCGTTTTTCTTCCCTTGAAGTGCTAGCAAGACTTTGCCCGAAAACTTGTTGCACTGTTGATCTACTCACTGATGGCAGTGTGTAGCCTGGCGAGGTGGATTCTCCCACTGTCCCACGCCTGTTTTGTAACGCCTGTGAACGCCAAAGGTGAAGGTAACCTTCAAGTTCACAATTATGACGTTGGTATGTGCAGCTAACGTTACAATGGCCCATCAATGCATCAAGTTCTAGTGACACAGTAAATGTTCATTAATGCTGTCCACCTCTCCAGCTGCACTTAATAGTGCCGTCCTCTAGTATCGATTGATCAAAATTCTTATCCTCTCCTGTTCCTCCCAAACTTCTAGCTCCGCAACTTCTTCTCTCTTCACCTTCAGGTACCTCTGCACCGTCTTCTCGTAACCGGCGAGCCACTTTTCCTGCTTCACCAAGCTGCCCTCCAAGGCATCAAGCGACTCTGCAAGCGTCTTGGGAAGCCTCTTCGTTATACCGTACTTCGCCCTCTCTTCTTCAGAAATCGCTGCTGTCCAATCTGCACAGGAACGATGTTAACCGAACTTGCTTTTTACAACTGTAACGCCGAGAGAAACTCACGTGGACAATCTGAATACTTCGAAGAGCCACCTTCCTCTATCCCAGCGAGTCCTGCGAGAATGAGAAAAA